CTAACAATATACACTACCGTTCAAAAGTTTGGGGTCAGTAAATTTTTATTCTTTCTTTTTTTGAAAGAAATTAAAACTTTTATTCAGCAAGGATGTGTTAAATTGATAAGAAGTAATAGCAAAGATTTTTATTGTTAGAAAAGATTTCTATTTTGAATAAATGCTGTTCGTTTTAACTTTTTATTAATCAAAGAATCCTGAAAAAGTATCACAGATCCCCATGATTGTGTAGCCTAGTGAACCAAACTGAGAGACCATTTTGAAAGCTCAGGAAACCTTTGCAGGTGTTATTCTAATATAACTACTAAAAAATATTTGGCAAAAATATTTGGCAGCACAACTGTTGCCAACATTGATAATTCTAATAATAAATCAGCATATTAGAATGATTTCTGAAGGTTCATGTGACACTTTAGACTGGAGTAATGGCTGATGGAAATTCAGCTTTGTATCACAGAAATAAATTATATTTTAAAGTGTATTAAAATAGAAACCATTATTTTATATTGTAATAACATTTTGCACTATTACAGTTTTTTTCTGTATTTTTGATCAAATAAATGCAGCCTTGATGAGCATAAGAGACTTCTTTAAAAAACATTACAAGTCTTACTGATCCCAAACTCTTGACCGGTAGTGTATATATAAACTTTCAAAAGTTTGGGTTCAGTACGATTTTTTTATATAATTAATGTATTCCTGTGTGCTGAGGAAACATTTCTTATTAACAGTGTTGAAAACAGTTCTTAATATTTTTGTGGAAATGGTGACTCAATTTTTTTCATGATTCTTTGATGAATGGAAAGTTCAAAAGAACAGTATTTATATGAGCTAGAAAACTTTTGTAACATTATATAATTGTCTTTACTGTCACTTTTGATCAATTTAATGTGTCTTTGTTGAATAAAAGTATTAATTTCTCTCTCAAAAAAACAAAACATACTGATCACAAACTTTGGAACGCTAGTGTAATTTTGACGTTAGTGTATTAGTCTAAAATGCACAGATGAACATTTAAAAAAATCTACTCGGGCACCTTTGTTTTAGCATTTTCAACATACTATAAATTAGAATAATAAACTACAGTAATTGCATACTGTTGTGTTTCCTACAGAATTTTGTTTTTGTGTACAGTATATAAAATACAACATTATATAACATTTATTTTTGTGTGTCCCAGTTTCTCCAGAGCTGTCGGAGAGCCGATGGTGAGCTGGAGTCAGTTCAACAGACTGTGGAGAGAGTTTTGAGTCGTGACTCAGAGTTTGCCAGTTCACTTTGCCAGCTGCTGTCTGCCAACCAGCAGAACTTCCCACAGCTGATAGACCTCAAACATACTGGTGGTGAAGGACCTTTCAGTACATAGAGATTTCTGTTCATATGATATGATAGTTTGGCATCACTTTTGAAAGCATCTGATGGAAAATCTTACACCTTTACATTTGATCCATATTCAAAACAGGGCCTCTGTCGGATTCTGACTGTCCTGCAAAATCTGAGGTTGAGCAGGATGGATCTACCGGCGCAGACTCTGAGGATGATGATGGAGAAGATTCCAAAACAAAAGGCAGAAGAAAGGCTGTTCCTGTGTTCTACAGCTGCGAGTGGTGTAATAAGACGTTTGACTTTAAGTGCTGTCTAATAAAGCATAAGAAAGGCTGTGCCCTCGCGCCGGGGAAGGAGCAGCGCTGCTCAGAGTGTTCAAAGGCGTTTCCGACGCTCAAGAGCCTTCACCAGCACTGCATGGAAGTCCATGGCGGCCCTCCGGCTAAGAAGAAGAAAACAGAACTAGTACCATGTGACATGTGCGACAAGACTTTCAAACACTCTTCAGGTATACGATGATCCTTTTCAAGACACTGGCTGTTAATGTATGCGCTCCAGAAGTGTTAAGCTTTGGTGCTCATACAGGTGACGCAGATTCAAGGCCAGCCTGCAACAGGGTCTTCATCACATTCCTCTTATAAATAATGATTTAGTGCCTCTCTCCATTACGATGTCAAAATTTCTTGTTTACTTAATTGGGAACTTGAAGCCATTATTTTAATTAAATTTGTAATTAGTAGTATAATAATATTTATATTAATATTTAACTTTAACAACAACAACAACAACAACGATTTTTGACTTTAAATATAATAAAAAATATTTTATATTACAAATGTAATAATAATAATAATAATATGTAGTATAATAATATTTATATTAATATGTAACTTTAACAACAACAATAATGATTAATAAAGTTAAATATAATTAAATATTGTATATTATATTTATATTACAAATGAAATAATAATAACAAAAAAATACAAATTATTATTACTATGGTAAATAATAATATAAATATTGTTATATTGTCGATTATGAATGGAATATTAATAATACTAATATTTAATTGCTAATATAATGAAACTAATTAATCATATTAAGCTAATATGTTATTGAAAACACTAAATATTATGTTATTGATTATTAATTAAATGATTGATGATGATGATGATAATATACACTATTATTAGTTGCATTATTAGTATTAGTATCATTGTTAGTATTATTATTAGAATCATTATTATTAATTAAATAAATAAACAACTGTTTTCATTTGTAAAAGTATCAAAAAAAAAAGTATTGCAAAAGTATCAAAAAAAAGTAAAAAGTGATTACTTTTTGCAAAAGCATCAAAATTGGAATCAAGTATTATAATTTTACTGGTATAAAATGTTGAAATGTGAAAACACTACATCTCCTTTATCGCTGTAAATTCAAACATGCAAAAGACCAAAATGACAATAAAAAATCCCAATTATTTAGTTTTGTAAAGGTCTGTTGGTTTATTTTTGGACATAAAATGGATCGTAGACACCGATCGTTCTTACGTCAGCACTGCTTTATGCATTCCGTGCTTATATCTTTCAGGCCTTTTGTATCATAAACGCACGGAACATTTCGAGGAGAGGCCGTACGCATGCGAGGAGTGCGGGGCGAAGTTTGCTGCCTCCTCGTCTCTGAAGAACCACATGCGTCTACACACGGGAGAAAAACCCTTCCACTGCAAACACTGTGACATGAGCTTTTCTGTGGCCGCCGCTCTCTCCTACCACACCAAGAAGAAGCATGCTGAGGGTGCGATGGTTCAAACACTTTTTGTGATTTTTATATCATGCTTTGATGTGAAAACCAACATGACAACCTTGCAAACTTCTGCATTTGCAGGTAAAATGTACTGCTGTCAGTACTGCTCGGCCACATTTGCGCAGTCCATTGAACTGACGCGCCACGTCCGCACGCACACGGGAGACAAACCGTACGTCTGCAGGGAATGCGGCAAAGGCTTCAAACAAGCCAATGGGCTGTCCGTCCATCTGCAGAACTTTCATAGTGAGCACATCCACAAGAGTCACATGATGTATCTCACTCTCTAATAAACACAAACTCAACTAGTGACATGTTTGTTATCGGTCCCATCAGACATTACAGAACCACTTGACTGCCAGAAGTGCCGGGTGAGTTTCTCTTCTCTGGATGAACTCCGACAGCACATCCAGGAGGTGCATCCGAAAGAGCTGCACCAATGTCCCGAGTGCAGCAAGATCTTCAACAGCGAAGCCAATCTGGAGAAACACATGAACATCCATAACGGCAACAAACCTTACAGCTGCAAGACGTGTAAAAAGTCCTATCAGGTAAGAACATCACACTTCATCTGTTGAATGATACACTATTTCTCTCCAACAGAAAACTATTTCAGCGTAACACTCTTTTTGTGGAATTTGCTGTGCTGTGCTTTTGCACTGTGACCCCAAAATGTAGTTTGACACTTAAACTACACATAAAAATATATAAATATAATTGCATTAGATACAAAATTATCGAACCCAGTGGCATTTATTTTCAATTTATGTCTATGATATTAGCAGACACTTTTATACAGAGTAAGAGGAACAAAAGCAATTTGTCAAAGAGACAACAAATAAACACACACAAGCACACTTTTCAAGCAAAACATTTATATTATATTGTTATATACATTAGATTTTTAGAGTAGTTTTTTTTTTGTCTTTGAAAGACATTTTTTTCTCACCAAGGTTCCATTTATTTGATCAAAATGCAGTAAAAGCAGTAATATTATGAAATATTATCATAAGTTAAAATAATTGTTTTCTATTTTAAAACATTTAAAAATGTAATTTATTCCTGTTATGCATAGCTGAGTTTTAAGCATCATTATTCCAGTCTTCAGTGTCACATGATCCTTCAGAAATTATTCAGATATGCTGATTTGCTGCTCAAGAAACATTTCTAACAATATTAAACATAATAGTGATACTTAATATTTTTGTGGAAACCTTGATACTTTTATATAATCTAATACAAAAATATCTAAATATATTGTTAGTTCAAATATTTTTATTTTATTTATTTATTTAAAAAAATAATAAAATTGTCTCCTTTTTCTGTTTCAGACGCTCTCTGGTCTGTGGTACCACAATCGTACGTCTCACCTTGAGAGCGCCTCTGCCCAGGGCAACAAAGCCATTAAATCTCTGTTTCAGTGTGACAAGTGTGACAAGACATTCAGCAACCGAAATAGTCAGCTAAAACACCAGATAACCAATCACACAGGTATGAAGTGAACACAGATCCTAGCAAATTAGATACTGTTACTGTTAGTTGCAGTGTACTAGTATTGATCGTGTTTTCAGAAGTGCACTTGTGGAAGTGTGTGAACTGTGACAGAACTCTGACGAGCGAGCAGGAGCTGCAGCAGCACGTGTGCAGTGGTCAGTCCGGCTCTGTGTTCAGCTGTATGGTCTGCTCTCTCCACTTCCCCTCTGAGCCCTACACGTACAGTAGGATCTACACGGCTAGATCAAGGAGTAATATTATAGAAGCCCTATGATTACGACTATCATTTGGTGTCATAAAATTCTGAAATTATCGTACATTATGGTATTATTGATCGTACAGAGGTCAAAGTTATGGTACAAATAGGATAATTCTCGTACGTCTGGCAACACTGGCCTGGAGCATCCCTCTGAGGAGGAGGGGGCGGGAGAAAGTATTTTGAATTTGGACTGCAGTACCCATTTCAACCGCCAGCTGTCTATTACATACTGCACCTTTAATGATGAAATAATATTTCACTACAAAAATTATTATAATATACACTTAAAGTATTAGTGTTATTATTAGTATTATTGGTGGTATTATTATTATTATTAATTAAGTGTTTTCATTCGCACATTATTTTTGTTATGATAACAAAATTGGTATAAAGTATCATAAAATATTGGTATTGGTATCGACTACTGAAATGTTGTGAAACACAATCTCCAAAATATTTATAAAACAAAACATGCCAAAGGCCAAAAATACAATAAAAAAATTTTTTTAATCGGTATTAACTCAATTATTTACTTGTAAATAATTACTTTTTTAAAAGATTTTAACAGAAAATGGCTTCCCTGTCGATGGTTTTTGTGGCTCTTTCCAGGTGATTCGGTGTGAGGATGCAGCCGGTCAAGAGATGGAGCAGGTGATTAGCCTCGACCAGTCCCGGATTGAAGGGTCACCGCAGGTGTTTGTGGCTCTGGGTGATCAGCAGGAAACTGCCAGCGGCTCTGGAATCGTGACCGTCAGCATGGAGGATCTACTGAACGGCACGGTCACACTCATCTGTGAAGAGGGCCAGTGAACTCTAGGCCACACGCGGCTTTATGATCATGACATTTCTGAGGAGTGCTGAGGTTTCTTTTTACACTGGATTACACATGGTACTAAAGGCCTTCACACCATGTCATTTTACCAATCATGATACAATTTCTTTTGTACAAAAATGAATATGATCTTTAATGAACACAGGCTTCCGTCTCTGGGTCACTTGATTGGTTTTCAGGCTAAGCATACACGGGCATACAAAATTCATGTTAAAAATAGCTCAAGATGACGTCAGTCACTTCAGTGTAGTCTGAATCTTTTTTTGATTGTATTTCATTATGAACGATTTATTAAAATTGTTCTGACAGGCACAAATGGATTTTAAATGAGAAAAGTCATTTTAATTTGTTTCTAACACATTATCTACCTCCGATCAAGCATCGTGTAGAGATGATTTTTGGTTCTGATGGACATGGATAAATGAGACTTTGGACTGTGTTAACTGATTGTTTTTCTGCTAAAATTAACTTCTGTAAAATATTTTGTGGCCAACCCGACTACTGTTTAGCTTTTCATTTCTGCAATCTGATGAATGCAATTTTAAGATAAGAAGTTTGTGAGAAAAAATAAACTTTGTATAAATAAGTATAAATGGCAAAAAATAGAATGCTTTTTTTATATATATATATATATGACATAAGCAGGTAGAACATGGCGAGTCTTTTCATAAAGTAAGCTTAAATGACAATGTTTATTTACAGAAATTCACAAAGCATTAAGTAAAAACAATAATTTACTGTTTATATGAAAGACCACACCAACCCTCAAATACTTTTCATACAATATAGAGTAAAATATCTTTATATATATATATATATATATATATATAGTTTTTAGTTGATATGCCAATAATTCATAGACAACCCTGAGTCGATTTTTACATTCATAAGAGTGTAGCTTTAAAATCTTAAAACTTGACCACATTTCCAATTTTAAAAAAACTACACTCAACAGAAACTTGTTCTGTCATAGTAAAACCAGTCTGGATTAAACTGTAATTCATCATGATCTAATCTGACTCCAAGATACAGCACATAACAATTACAACAGTTGACTGTGTTAGTATGGAGTACATAAATAATCCAGACATAAACACAAGACAAACAAATAATCTCTAGTTTTCATGTGCCACATAATGCAATGAACTATGCTGGTTCTGACTTTTCAAATAAAGCTTTTAAAGCAACAAGTGCTCACTTTAATTTGCTTATTTTACTGTCCAGATTTGATTTGCATAATATATTAACAATTTTTAATTATGCATATTTGGCTGATATTGGATGCAGATAATATCAGGGCTCATATTATGAAATTAAAGCAGAAATTCTTGTAAAATTCTAGACTGAAGTTTTAATAATAGTTTTAATTTGTTACTTGTGGATTATTGTGATGTTTTTATCAGCTGTTTGGACTCTCATTCTGACGGCACCCATTCACTGCAGAGTATCCATTGGTGAGCAAGTGATGGAATGCTAAATTCTCCAAATCTGCTCCAATGAAGAAACTAAATATTGGATGGCCTGAACGTAAACACATTTTCATATGTGTGAGAACTATTCCTAAAAAATACACAAAACTGAGTTATTGGCTATAATAAAAACAAATATGGGTTATTACAAATTTCTCATTGCATTACTAGTCCAGACAAAAAAAAAAAGTGTCAAAATAACTTTCATTTTTATGTCATGTTGTTCATGTCGGTATCATACAGCCAGTTCTGTGGATGAAGGCACACAACCAAATACTGCAACATGAACAAACTCAATTACAACACCCTAAAATATTGCAAAACTCACACAGACGGGGTTGAAAGAAGAGAAGAACACGACAATGATGTATATAACATTTCTGAGCGTACTGTAATACAATAAGCTTATTCTTGCAATGCAAACGACATTCTGTTCATTTTCCCAGAGTGCCGCAAGGCTCCCTATTCAGCAGTGCATAGTAACATAACACCAAAAAACTGTTCTCAATTGATCACATAAAATTCGTCCTGCGCAAAGCACAGACAGTTGCTTGTATTAAGTTTAAAAAATATGTAAATATAGAATTACTCATTTATAATGTTAAAGCAAATCCTCAAGTACAGAATATCAGTAGTCAACGTACATAAATGTGCACTAAGGGCAAAATCATTCGATAGTGAGCATCAGTACACCAGACTCACTATGAAGGTCATGCATTCTTCCCGTTTTTAACTAAACTTGTGTAAATACTGAAAATATGCAACTATATTTTCAGGGTGGAGGCCTTGGAAAAAAGAACAATTGATGAATACAATCCCAATTTGAATCTTAAAGAAATTACCTGAGGTTTCAGAATAAATCATAAGTATTCACTAGATCATGTGATCATAAACAGCAAATTTACTTCCTTAAAATCACTATACACACTTTCTAATTGTCTATAGTCACTCAATTTCATTGGAAATACTATATGATCACTCCTCTTACCAAAAGTGTACTTCAAGGGCACAAAAATGCTGTTTGGGCTGCGTCTGAAATCACATACTCACTGAGGTGGTCATTTTTTTGAAGTATGTTCTATATAGTATGAATGTAACCCGGACGTCATTATCATGTGACCTACCAGAGTCAGTTTCCTTGCTTCATTGTCATTCACAAATTGTCTCCCGTGGCCTCATGGCAGGGCCGCTTCTAGCCAATTTGACGACCTAGGCGAAATCCCTATTGCCCCCCCCCACCCAAATTATATATATAATTATTTTCAGACACCAGTTGCTCGTCACATTCAAATTGGTTGTCATAGTAACGACACTACTTTGTGGAGATTCAGTGCACTGAGTTCCACAAATCTGAATGTGAGGACACATAAAACAGCATTGTTCGATATATATAGACAATGTTCACAATTTAAAGTTTCTGAGTTACTGGGCAGCAAAATAGGTGATTTCTGCAAAAAATATATATATATTATGATGTCACAACCACGAGCACTTGCATACTTAGTATGCAGTATGCATACTTTGTTCAAAAGTTTGGGATGGTTTTTTAAATGTTTATGAAAAAGTCTCTTAATTTATTTATTAATAATTTCAAGGCTGCATTTCGTTCTTCAGCATACAGTAAAAAAAACACTAACGTTGTGAAGTATGATCACTTTTTAAAATAACTGTTTTGTATAAATGTAATTTATTCCTGTGATTCAAAGCTGAATTTTCAGCATCATTACTCCAGTCATCAGTGTCACATGATCCTGATTCAGAAATCATAAATATGCTGATTTGCTGCTCAGGAAACATTTATTATCAATGTTAAAAACAGTTGTACGGTTTAATATTGTTGTGGAAAGCGTGATGCATTTTTCTTCAGAATTTTTTGCAAAAATTTTTAAAAGTCTTTACGGTCATTTTTTATCATTAATGCCTCTTTGCTAAAAAATAAATTAACTTGTATGAAAAAAATAAAACTAAAATCCCCAAACTTTTGAATGGTGGTGTATATGATGACTTGCTCTTGATTGACTGTTCTGTACAGAGAATAAAATAAATCATAGACTATTTCCTATACTGTCCATGGGTCAAAATCTGAGACTGACCTCTGTCAGGTCATCTCACATTATTAGTACAGAATGCGTTATCTTTGTCATCAAGGTGAATGTAATCAGATTCCGACGGTAAAGCAGCTGAGGATAATTCCACTGTCTTTGTGTTTCACCACACTCAATTCATTATTTACAAAAGACATATTTTATTCATTCCCTGAGACGCTGAACATCACAGAGACACAATGCATTATTAAAAACTCCAGGGGTGAGTTTTTATAGGTTTTTATAAACCTATGACTTAAAATGACACATTGTATAATATTTTGTGTATTTGAATGTATAAAAACTTACCCCAAGTGACATGCAGACAGGATGCCATGAGAAGAGACCTGAAATTAATAAACACAGGAGTTATAGAAAAATAGGGATTTATAATATTTGGAAATACTTTATATTAATTTTCATTTTATCAATACCAAAACATATATGCTTAATGTCATTATTTCATGGTAATATTATAGAATTGCCATGGCACATGTCTGAAAACATAGTAATACCATGTTTTGTTTTTTTGTACTTTCATACATACTCCAAAATACTATCATGCCCTACTATACTATTCTACTATATATACACGAAATACTCCAAAATACTATTAAATTATCATGGTACAGCCTGTCAGAAACAAGTACAAATGTCCAAAACCATTGTAATATCTCCGTACTTGGATATATACCATGGTTATGACTGATTATTGTATTCATAACCCATGGTACGCCAATGTACTTTAAACAATATCCCACAATTGCAACCGTACACTTCCAAAACACAGTACTGCCATGGTAACATGTCTGAAACCCAAGGTACTTCTTATTTTGTTATAGAAATGGCTACTTTTGGAGTAGAAATGACAAGGCCCTTTTATTTCTATATATTCATACATATTTATAAATCAATGCAGGTCCATATTTGCTACTAATCTGTCAGGCACTTTTATGTGTTTATATAAAGTTTATAAAATATTGCCACAGCACTATCATATTCTTGGACAAGTACCATGGTATTTTTTTATTTTTTTATTTTTTTTTTAAGTACCATGCAAATATCACTTGAATTTCCAGACATCTGATACCATCACTATACCATGGTACTTTTTTGTAAAAGAAACATCTAAAAGTGGCGCCGTATATCTATCTGCATGTGCATAGAGCTGTAGAAATGTGCAAAAGAAGTGAAAAGACTCACTTGTTCCTGGTCTGGACAGTATGGATGTGAGAATGACCAGGCCGAGTGAGATGATGTGCGCAGCGACCACAGCCAGTCTGCGCAGCCACACATAGAGCCAGAACTCCCGCATCCCTCTCCCCTCTCCCACCGCACTGTACTCAACATCCAGAGACGAGCGCATCCCCCTCGCCATTCCTGATAGTTAATTCAGGAACTCAGATTTTTACATTTACGCCTAAATTACTCAATAGAAAACATATCTCAGGTGTCATTCCTACTGAGCTTCACAAATCCTGATTTCTAGATCCGAAACGCATATATATTTCAACTTATGAACTCTCTCGGTTATAAAATTAAACTTGCGGTAGGAAAGTTGTTAGTCCTGTTCGGTGCCATTTTCGTGTGACAGTGTTACTTGGAAATGCATTTCCTGCACAGGAATCCTACTACGATAAAGGATGGGCTCTTAATATTCAGGAGCCATGCAGTTGTGATTGGAAGGTTACCAAGCAACGAGAGCACGACCACATTAATATTCAATAGCCAAGTGTTCGCCATAGGTGAGCAGCCTTCTTTATATTCAAAGTAAACACGATACGTAACTGCAATCTACTTAATTATTTATGAGCTAAGCTTCTGCCAGGATAGGACAGTACTTACGCATGCGCAAGACATTTTAAAGTGAGAGAAACAGAGCAGGGAGATATCTAATGACGAACAGCTGACACGTTTTCACGCACAAAACCAACTTTTGTCATTTTTGTACACATGGCAAAAAAAAAAAAAAAAAAAGGTGTGGTGCTCTTAAGTAATGAGTTCCACATCTCTGACAAACAAATTTCCATTATTTGTCCAGTCCTTCATGATTACTTGATAAGGATTTTTTTTTTAAATGTATAGAGATTGCAGTCAATAAGAGGCCAAACATCACTACAAAAAAAACAAAATCAGTATGCAGCAAGCACTTTTAAAATAACTGAGTAAAATACCACAAAAACGCACACAACATATATATTAGTCAACTATTTAACAAAGCACTGAATGAAATATACATGCATGCTTTGCGAGGTTTTTTTTTGTGTGAGATTTCATATTAAAATAATTTTTTTTAAGACACTGAGAGAATGAGAATTTAATTTTCCCTAAAACGTCATATTTACCTTTGAGGATAAAAAAAAAAAAATCCCTGTAATAAGACTGGAAAATGTATGCTTAAATGTCAGATTGAAAATAAAATGTCACAATGACAGGTTTCGTCAAATTCACCCATTTATCAATTTTAAAAAAAAGTCATAATAAAAAAAGACCTAGTGCCGAGTATAAAGAATATTTTAATCCATTTTATAAACAACATTTAGGTAGCAGCATTATTCAGTAGATTCTGAGGTATTTTCTGAATTCACAGAGAAATTCACTCCCCCATCTCATTACATACACCTCCACATACACACACACACACACACACACACAGATAGACATTCATAATAGCTAAACATGTGCGCACACACACACACAATTCAAACAGTCAGTCAAACATGCGGAGTCCTGCGTCCATAGTTCTATATGGTAGAGTTCGTAGGGCTCGCTCTTTTAGTGGCTTGTAAGGCTGGCACTCTCAGTGGTGCAATTTTGGCTGTTGAAAAAGGCAACAGAGAACAATTAATATGATAAACAATGTTAACATTAATGTTTGTCTAATATTATACCCATCTTCAGTGTCACATGATCTTTCAGAAATCATTCTAATATGCTGATTTGCTGCTCAAGAAACATTTCTTATTATCAATGTTGAACAAAGTTGTGCTGTTTAATATTTTTGTGGAAACCGTGATGCATTTTTGTTTTAGGATTCTATAATTAATAGAAAGAACAAAATATTTTTGTGGAAACTGATACATTTTTTTTAAATCCTTTGAATAGTAAGATTACAAGAACAGCATTTATATTTTAGTAACTATCGATCTTAAGCAACTTTGCTGAATAAAAGTGTTAATTTCCTTAAAAAAAAAACTTTTGAACAGTAGTGTGTTTCTCATCACCTTTTTACAATGCAGATCCTTTTAAGATCCACAGAATTCACTCTTATTCATATTAACATGAACCCTCATATTGTGTGTAATTGTGTTTAATTTGGCTATGCTTTCAGAACTGGAAAAAAATTAGGGATGCTCCGATCTGCCTTTTTCGCCTCCGATACCGATAACGATCCGATAACAGTGAAGTTTTTTTTCCCCCCATTTAAATAAATGTAGAATTTATATATCTCTGTGTGTGGAACTGATAATCATTATTTCACAATCTACTAGATACAGACTACTTCATTATAAAGAAAAATTAAATAATAAATATGAAAAAATATAGGCCTATGCATATTTATAATCTATGACAAAATTTATCAAACTAGGTTAGTGGATAATTTGGCAGCAAAAGTTATTCTAGAAAAATCAGTGCACAATAATTTTAGAAATCCAAACATTTAGTGAAAAAATAATATTTTGTGGGGAACAAATAAAAGTGTTGCACTAAATATGGTAAAATTTTACACATTGCTATTTGTATTATAAAATCCATTCATCAAAAATATTCACAACCCTCTACGGACACCTTGGCAATTGAATCGCCATTGGCTAGTAAATTTTGTCGTTTACTCGCCAGACTGAAATACTATACTTATATATATATATATAGCACTTAAATATTCATATGTAGCTCACATTAAGCTATCGTATGGCTTCAGAAGTAACACAGAATAATTCGCATAATCGAGAAAAAACAAAAAAAATCTCGGATTTGGATCGGCTCTCTCTGACCGATACCTGATCCGAGAAAAATGGCACTATCGGAGCCGATACCCGATATGAATATCGGATCGGCAAATCCCTAAAAAAAATTCAGATTTTAAGAATTTAATCTTTTTTTTATTTATGAGTTGGACTTTGCATTCAATCGTCCACAGCTCCACAAGCTGTTGAAATAGAATAACAGGAAGAGGAATTAACTGAAGTGCAATTCAAAGAAATTGAATACAACATATATGTAAAATATATATATATATGCGTGCGTGTGTGTGTGTGTGTGTGTACAGTTTTGAGGTTGTGGACAGGTGTCTTTTATACTGATAACAAGTTCAAACAGATACCATTAATACAGGTAACGTGTGGAGGACAGAGGAGCCTCTTAAAGAAGTTGTTACAGGTCTGTGAGAGCCAGAAATCTTGCTTGTTTGTAGGTGACCAAATACTTATTTTACCGAGGAATTTACCAATTAATTCTTTAAAAATCCTACAATGTGATTTTCTGGATTTTTTTTCTCATTTTGTCTCTCATAGTTGAGGTATACCTATGATGAAAATTACAGGCCTCTCTCATCTTTTTAAGTGGGAGAACTTGCACAATTGGTGGCTGACTAAATACTTTTTTGCCCCACTGTATGTATATTCGTTACGCTATCGTTCGGTACACGATACGCGTACCGTTACACCCCTAATATTTATTTATACACACACACACACATATATATATATATATATACAGGGTTGGGAGGGTTACTTTTCAAATGTATTCAGTTACAGTTACAAATTACTTCATTAAAAAAAGTATTCAGTAACGTAATACAAGTACCACAATATAAAAGTAATGTAATCTGATTACTTTTGGATTACTTTTATTACTTTAACATGTACAAGTAAAAATAAATAGTTTATACACATTTAAAAATGTACACCATATACATATTAGTCTATTTTAAAATAAGCCTACATGTCGAAATGCATGTGAAATGCTATCTTTCTTTATTTCATTGACTGATCCGGGGTGTGGGGACTTTCTGTAGAATTTCTACATTTTCAGGCAAATTTTTCGCTAGAAAACTTACAACTGCAGTCATGCACACCATGGAATTTTAAATCACTAACAAACACTAAATTTTAGCTAACATGATGATTTCCATGTTAGTTATACCTGCAAATGTTCAAGTTGGTTGAGTAGCCTTTGTTAAAGCAAGAGTGTTCATGCATAGCTTACGCTTTACAACTATGTTATTTCCTTTATCCTCTTTGAAAACAAAATAACTGTGAAATTTCCAGACATGAAAAAGTTTTTCACAGCAGGAAGCATCGTAATTAATTTACTGTAGCAGCATCTGTCAGTCATCCCGCGTTTGAGGAGAATAATTGTAGATGGGTGTTTTTGCGCACGCACCAGCAGGCGGCTCACGTGAGTCAACATGCGTCAACAGAACCAGTAAATGTATAGTGTTATGTCAAAATACTCATTTATTTCATTTTAAATTAAACAAATGTAATCCTGATAGTAGGGCTGTGCAAAAAAATCGAATGCGATTTTCATGCGAATCTCGTCAGTAAAGCCGCTTCTGGTGATTAGCAGAGCATGTGAGCGGAGCGGAGTGAGAGCGGAGTGGTAATATTTCCTTAAGAGCGCAGAGCGCCTTTCTGAAGATTCCGCTCCGCTCGCTCAATACGCTCAGCGCCGCTCGCTCAACCCAGAATGCCCTTTGGTGATTTGCTTGTTCGAGATCGAGAATCTGTAGAGATCGAGAATAGTAGAGCAGTTATGGAGTTCAGATATTGTTTCAACGAAGTTGCAAGCCTTATACATAAATGTAAAGTAAACAATCTAAGTTAAGAATGAGCAGGGAGAAGAAACTGAGAGGGGAGTTAGATTGCGGGGAGAGTTAGTAAAGATTCATATTGGAATCTGAAGCGGCACATTGCCAGAAAGCACGAGGATGTGCTACGCAAACATGGTGCCGCAAAAGGTGAGCTAGTTACATACCATAATAAATGAATAAACAGGTAGGCTAAGGTTATATTGGGTTGTACAGAGCCCCGATCATGACATGCAGACAATTAATCACAGCCAACGAATTTAGAATAGGCTAGTTCTCTTTTATGCTAGGACTACATTATGGCCACGAATTAAGTATTTGTTCTCTTGTTTAGGCTTAGCTGCCACGAATTAATTCATTCGTTAATTCGTTCGTTCCCTAGTTTTAGTAGGCCGCTGGTCGAGGAACTCTGCAGGTTTGGCTCCTTGCCTGGTCCGTGGGAAGAGTAGAAGGAAGTCTTGAGAGAAGTTGAGTTGTGACTTCCTGCTTTCTGTTTGGAATGCTGGGAAATGGAGGAAGGAGAGGCAGAAACGGCTGCAGGCTTGGCTGGGGGACTCTGGGAGTGAGGATCTGATGCTTGAGGTATTTTTCTGTGAGTAGGACAGGAATTAGGGGTAGTGAGACAAAACATTTACTTTCACATGCAGTGCAGGAAGTAAAAACACAGCTGTCAAAAGGAAACAGGCTTTGTTAGGGACTGAAGCGCTAATGGAGATTAACCTTAGAGCTACTCTGGTGAAAGAAACAAGATAATGCTAGTGGATCCTCAGAGCATGTGATCTGTGAGTGAATCTTACGAAACCTGTCAAGAACAAGTCCTGCTCACATTCCACCCCAAAATCAAATGACAAAAGTACGATTTTTAGGACCATTTGGGTTTTTTGCATCGTGTATTTTAATAAAAATTAAGCACATTCCTCCAAATTCGTATTATTGTAATGCATCTGTTGTTTTACTTGAAGTTACTGTAAAACAATTATTTGTAAAAATGTATAGATACCCTCGACCCACGGAGGTGTCCAGAGGCGGCAGGGGCCAAGGCAGCCTCGCCTCTTTGGGATTGAGGCCTTTCGGTTGAGGAAGGCCGATTGGGTGACGGGCCTCCATGTGGCCATGGGGGGTCTCTCTGAGTAGGGGGAGGGGAGCTCCGCGTGGGTTCGATGAGAGGGGACTGCTTAAAAACAGCTGATTCTGAATGACCCGAGTTTGAAGGTGAGTGCCTGGTGGGTGGAAAGATTAACATATATATATATATATATTGTATATGATTCTAATAACCACAGATTACAACATCCAGCATCATATTTGCTGAATGAATACTTGTTTTTTTACAATTTTTGAGGTGCTGATTCCAAAAATGGTGCCAGTTTTGATGTAGCGCATCATACTTTCTCATAAAATACAATGCATTTTGTAGCTTTGTTTCTACTTCCGACAATCATTTGCTAAGTGAAGAAGCCTTGTATTGTCACTTGATCACCAGATAAACTGCCATAAAGACATGATTCCAGTCTTCATCTAAGCCAGGTTACAACTAAAAAAAATAACAAAAACTTTTCTACAGAACCAAAATCATCTAAGAATTGAACAAATCAATTATCATCCGATTTTCATATGTATGAATGATTCTAAAGACATTTTATGCCTAATCTTTATTTCCATTTTTTCCAGATTGTAAGTGCAAGGACACATTTTGAATACCTCTTTTTGCCATTAAAATGTAGGGTTGCACGATTAATCGAATGCGATTGTCATGCGCATTTTGTTAAAAAAGCCGGTTCTGTAATCAGCAGGAAATCATCATCACGTGCTTTCAGATGGAGCAGAATTTACTTCACATAGCCGAAGTTCACTGACAAGTGATGCAAAAAAACAAAAAAAAAACTAATCGCAGACGATTTTATTGCGCGATTCTGAAATCGAAGAAATCGTTCGCGATAATGACAGCTGTTTGCATAGCTTCTCAGTGAACTACGGCTCTGTGAAGTAAATGCTGCTCCATCTGAAAGCATGTGAAAATACCACATTTAATAACATATTTTTACTCCAAACTCACTTCATAACGTCAGTCAAGTGTTTGAAATAAATCCTTCTGTGAGATGATGTGGCTTCTTACACAGAATAAGGCACGCAACATATTTCATAGTATTTAAGCAGTGATAAACGCATTGCATTATAAATATACTTTATTTTAATGAAAATTATAATAATAAGAACTCCGATAAACCGTATATTGCTGTAGTCGTGTGTTTATTAGTCACGTTGAATCAATGAAAGCAGTTGAATCTTTTTTTAATGACTTACTGGAGACCATTTTGTACGTCCTCGACCCACGGAGGTGTCCAGAGGCGGCAGGGGCCAAGGCAGCCTCGCCTCTTTGGGATTGAGGCCTTTCGGTTGAGGAAGGCCGATTGGGTGACGGGCCTCCATGTGGCCATGGGGGGTCTCTCTGAGTAGGGGGAGGGGAGCTCCGCGTGGGTTCGATGAGAGGGGACTGCTTAAAAACAGCTGATTCTGAATGACCCGAGTTTGAAGGTGAGTGCCTGGTGGGTGGAAAGATTAACATATATATATATATATATTGTATATGATTCTAATAACCACAGATTACAACATCCAGCATCATATTTGCTGAATGAATACTTGTTTTTTTACAATTTTTGAGGTGCTGATTCCAAAAATGGTGCCAGTTTTGATGTAGCGCATCATACTTTCTCATAAAATACAATGCATTTTGTAGCTTTGTTTCTACTTCCGACAATCATTTGCTAAGTGAAGAAGCCTTGTATTGTCACTTGATCACCAGATAAACTGCCATAAAGACATGATTCCAGTCTTCATCTAAGCCAGGTTACAACTAAAAAAAATAACAAAAACTTTTCTACAGAACCAAAATCATCTAAGAATTGAATTATCATCTTATCATCCGATTTTCATATGTATGAATGATTCTAAAGACATTTTATGCCTAATCTTTATTTCCATTTTTGTAAGTGCAAAAGTGCAAGGACACATTTTGAATACCTCTTTTTGCCATTAAAATGTAGGGTTGCACGATTAATCGAATGCGATTGTCATGCGCATTTTGTTAAAAAAGCCGGTTCTGTAATCAGCAGGAAATCATCATCACGTGCTTTCAGATGGAGCAGAATTTACTTCACATAGCCGAAGTTCACTGACAAGTGATGCAAAAAAACAAAAAAAAAACTAATCGCAGACGATTTTATTGCGCGATTCTGAAATCGAAGAAATCGTTCGCGATAATGACAGCTGTTTGCATAGCTTCTCAGTGAACTACGGCTCTGTGAAGTAAATGCTGCTCCATCTGAAAGCATGTGAAAATACCACATTTAATAACATATTTTTACTCCAAACTCACTTCATAACATCAGTCGAGTGTTTGAAATAAATCCTTCTGTGAGATGATGTGGCTTCTTACACAGAATAAGGCACGCAACATATTTCATAGTATTTAAGCAGTGATAAACGCATTGCATTATAAATATACTTTATTTTAATGAAAATTATAATAATAAGAACTCCGATAAACCGTATATTGCTGTAGTCGTGTGTTTATTAGTCACGTTGAATCAATGAAAGCAGTTGAATCTTTTTTATTCAGCTGCAGCGATTTTCTGGGTTTCTTCTGCGAGGCGTATTTGGAATTTCAGCGCGAGAGCGCACTCTGGCCTTGGGATGGAGATTTACTGCTGATCACAGAACCGTGCTTCACTGAAAGATACGCATGACAATCGCAGCTACTGTCGAATCGCGATCTCGATTCCATTTCGATTTATCGTGCAGCCTTATTAAAATGTTTTGAAACTTTTGACATTTTACCGCTTTTGTTATATTGATGAGTGATAACAAATGTGAACATCAATTTAGGTAAACTTAGGCCTTTTTTGCAAATGAGCAGATTTTTTTAAAGATGCAGGGCTGTGTTAGAACACATTAGACCCTCTTTTAACATGAACAAACAAGATCAGATTAGCAAATCTTACCAAACGCCATCTTTCGGAGGTTTCGTGTGCCTGAACTGAGGCGGTGTTGAGGGAGATTGCGGAGATGCCCACAGCGGTCCGACATTCTGGTTCCTGCCACTCCAAGAGGAGGCTCCGTGGGAAGGCAGGGTGTGTCCATGACGGGATCTATGCTGCTGAGGTGGAGGTGGGGTGGAGCGGAGGTGTGCATAGAGCTTACCCAGAGGGCCATGCCTCCTCTCGCAATGCTTCTCGAACGCCTGAGGCTTCACCACCTGACTGCAATGGCCGCAAACCACCAAATAGAAGTCATCGTGCCCAGGAAAATTACCGAAGATGGACATATCTACAGAAGCATACCAAACAATAGAGACAAATTAGCTTTGTTCGAAAAGTAAAACTAGAGGAAATGTTTTTAAATACAGTCATTTTCCCCAAAGAGAAATTAATTGTGTGTGTGTGTGTGTGTGTTGAAGCTTCCTGTTTGAAAACTCAAACGTTTCTAAACATGTTTAAGTGGTTCCTTCTAGTGGCAGTCCAATATTTACCTGAATTCAGCCTATGACACTGAAATAATAGCTCCGTTCAACTTAATGTGCCTTTTTTATTAACTTTCAGAAGCTGAATTTCACAAAAGAACATGTTTATTATTCATTGATAAGGCTGTTTATAAAAGCTGGACCTGACAGGAGGAACCACCGTGTTTTTAATGTCAAAAAACAGCCAAACACCGGCCAATTAATCGGCTTATATATATCAGTCCATCACTAAATGGGTTCATGTTAATACTGCAGTGTCCCCTTGAAATCAAAGTAAAGTACATAACGCCTACCCTCTTTCCTCAGTGTCATGGTTTCCGTCGTTGTTTTGCCATTCTTGCTGTATTCATCTCCATTGGACCCTATGAAAAATGTTTGAAGGTAGTTTATGTTAGAAAGGGTACATGACCATTATAAAATAACAGACTTCCATGCATTATCATTAATGACTTAGAAACACAGCACATATGGGCATCTTATGTAAACGCTACATTCTAAACCCACTTAATTCAATGGGCCGTAACCATAGAAACATTGAGAAGGACATGTGCCCTCCAAAAATCAGACCTATAATGGGTTCTTCTATGCTGAACTATATTTGGTCCAGAATATGTGGTTTCTGTCTTGAATGCAATGTATCGAGTCAAAACTGTGAGAAAAGGGACCAACATTGATTTATGCATTCAAAATCACTTTCACAGACTTTTTCACTAACTGTTCCCTCCTGGTGGAATGACCTGCCCAAATCAATCTGAGCAGCTGAGTCCTTAACCATCTTCAAGAAACGACTAAAAACACATCCGTTCCACCTTTATTTGAGCCTCTAACTCTAGCACTTTCTATTCTATTTTAATTCTACTTTATCTTCTTTCTTTTTTTTTTAAACAAACACACTAGCTTTCTATTCTATCTACTTGTTTTTCTTTGTGCGTGTGTATATGTATGTGTGTATATATATATATATATATATATATATATATATATATACACATATATATATATGTGTATGTGTATATGTATATGTTTTTTTAAATTATATTAGTTTTATATTACATCCCTCCTGTGTTATTCCTATGTATGTCTACACTATCATGTATGTCTGCACTATGTTTGTACTTTCTTCTACACTGGAAGCTCCTGTCGTCAAGTCAAATTCCTTGTGTGTGTAAACATACTTGGTAATAAAGCTCTTCTGATTCTGATATATTGTTGCTCTTTTGTTAGTTTTGACTGCTTTTATTGTCCTCATTTGTAAGTCGCTTTGGATAAAAGCGTCTGTTAAATGACTAAATAAAAAAAATGCATACAGTGGTGTTTAATGAGAGTCAGAATAGGAGATCTAGTCAACTGGTCAGGTTTTATTCCCCAAGAATTTCAGTGTGAAATGCAATCTGTGCCATGAACTGGTCATCTGTGAAGCTGGGCACAAGCTCTTCTGTGGGTGGGGCCAAAATAAAAACTACCTGCAAATGATCCCTACACTATTAACTGCTTTGATGTGCCCGCCGACAAAAGGAGATTGGTGGTTTTAAACTGAGTGCGTTTGTTTCTTTTGAAGTTGCAGACAAAACGAACGCGGAACACGTTCTATTATGAGAGAGAGTGAGAGAGAGAGAGAGAGAGAGACAGAGGGAGTGAGAGAGAGGGAGTGAGAGAGAGGGAGTGAGAGAGAGAGCGAGAGAGAGCGCAAGCGCGTGACCCGGCCGGCACTAGGACCCGGCAGGTTCTTTGTTTGGGTAACACGGTTCGGGATGCCGTGCCTTTTCCACGAAAAATAAAGCACATCCGTAAGACTTTTTGGTGGTGGATGGAGAAATGCCGGCGACGAAGTGCTCACTCACCCTCCGATGCTGTCAGGGTGGCTCTTTCTGTCCAGGCGCTCCAGCTTTGGCCCACGAAATCATCGAGACCAGGCACCCGCCGTTCCGGAGCAGCCATTACTTTAACTGCGCGTTCACGCACCGCCATCATCACCGCGCGGCAAGGCGCTGACGTCACATTGCGCGCTCCCGTGGGCGGAGGGGGAACCTGCGTGCGCGCGCACTTTTTAAATTTTATTTGCATTATTGATATTTTATTTGACATTATTTTATTGGACGAATCTTCAAACCCTTTACAGATTTGTAATGCAAATTGAGTACCTTAAACTGAATTTTAATAAAAAATATTTCACATTCTTAATATATAAAAAAATATGACAATTAAGCACATGCAAAACAAAAAAATCTAAATGGTTCTAGGCTTCTTTTTTCTTTATGTAATACAGATAAATACATCTGATTCGATTTCCTTTCCTTGGTGTAGTTGGATTAGTACCTTATTCAAGGCTTTAAATCATAAGCAATGCATATGTTCACATTCACGTGTGTTGGTTTGCAGTGATCTTGCCTATTATCTATACATCTTTGACCCAAAAGAAACATGTTTGATCGACACCAGTGTGATTTAGGTGATGTATTTTTGTTTACAATACTACCATCTACTGGTTATGTAGTAAACAGCATGCTACAGTAAAGAATTGTTAAAATAAAACTTTCAAATAAATACTGCTGTTTTGCAAGTTCTATTCTAAGAATACTGAAAAATATAATGGTTTCCACAAAAATATGGGGAAGCAAAACTGAAATGTTTCTTGAGCACCAAATCAGCATATTAGAATGATTTCTGAAGGATCATGTGACACTGAAGACTGCGGTAATGATGCTGAAAATACAGTTCACATGAATAAATTACATTTTGCAATGCATTCACATAGAAAATAATTATTTTTGTAGTTATATTTCACAATAGTACTGTTTTTATGGTATGTTTGAAAATGTAGGCTCAAGCTTTTTTTTTACGTGAAAGATGTATTTAATGTGTCAATAAATGTTTTGGTACTCTATTGTGAATTGTCTTATTGTGACAGTAATTAGGCCTGAAAATACGTCTTTTCACCTTTCAACCAAATTTTAACGTTGTTTAGACGTCTGGCATTTACGTCTTTTCAATGAGTTTTTGCTGGGTGGGCAGCCTTTTGAAATAAAACACGAACCAATATATATACAGCTCTCCTCTTTTAATACTAATCAAAACTGCAAACAGCCTTTTATGGAGGTTTTCCTTCTGAACGTAGCATAGAGATATAAAACACACACACACACAAAAAAAAAAAAATGTGGCCTATATTTTCCAAAAGCCACAACCAAAATTGAGGATTGCTCCAGGACAAAAAAAATCATCAATATGTGACCCGAGGAAAGATTTTTAAATGGCACTTTTAACTTTTTTCCTCTTTAATCACAATTAGACCCAAACTACTTTCCTTTAAGAATTTATATTAATAATTTAATGTGTTTACCTTTACCTACCTTTTATAGCTATGTAGATTAAAAAGTTTAGATGTGGCACTGAATATTCCTTTGAAAGTTTTATCTTACGATTAAAACAATTACTTGAGAATATAATAAAAAACAAAATTGGCAATTTAGAATTAAACAAATAATCAATTTTTAACAGAACATAAAATGCCCACAGACAATCACTGTTGCTGAACAATTACTACATTTTTTTTTTTTGAATTCAACAATGCAATCCCCCACAAAACATTTCTTTCTGTAAAAAATAAGATGGTAAAACATGCCACAGATGCACAAAATTAAATTTTCTTTCTGTAAATATAAACATCAACCCATGTGATACAGACGCTTCATTTACAGTGTCAAGTCAAATAACAGCCAAATACAAATAATGACAACATTACTACTCCAAACAGTAGAAAAACAATCAAACAAGTGTTTCCTTTCTGTTAAACAATGACTAGTGTTGAATAGTTAACATTTGTCCTGATAGAAAATTAAATACGGCCTTTGGCGTTGTAATTTATTATTACCAAATACCACTTCAAAAAGAGTCAACTCAGAGAATTCACACAAACATTTAAAATAAAGGTTACAGATGAAATATCAGATGCTTTATGGCTGAAACTAAGACGATTTTTTTAGTTTGTCCTTCTCTGACAAATGTAAGGTGACTCGGATGTGGCTGTGGAAAAACATTCTATCATGAACGTAAATGAAAAGGCACTTAAACCAATAAATAGTTATTTAAAAACTACAAGTAAAGACAAGCTTTAAATGTCTGGAGCTAGATATTAGTGTGCTAGTATTTGAAGTGCTCAGAGACATTTGACATTCTCATGAGGTCCGATTGTAGTGGACATTTACGGTTACTGAAATGCAGGTCATCTTTATATCGAATTAGACAAATTAATTAAAATGAAAAACATCAATTACCTAGAACAAGTTTATTGTAAGTTGTAACTGAAATGCTACTGATCTAATAAATAATTTGGTTTCTTTTTTTACCTGCGTGACAAAATTAGCTTCTGACAGTGCCATTAAATAGACACTAAAATAAAAAAAATCCATAAAGAAATGATGAATTCAGCTTAGAGCATGTCTAATGTAATGAACTGCGATGCATGATGCTAGAAACAAAGCTTTTGCATATCAAAGTGTAGTTTGTTTCACAAGTGGTGATGTCCTCTGCTTTATGAACGAATGGAGAGGAGAGGAAGGAGCCCGTCTTGTCTAATTAGGAGGTGGAAACTCCTCCCTCTACGCTGGGCGGTGGATTGGCCGGCTTATGAAACGGAGTCTCCTTGTAGATGAACCAGCAGTTTCCTGCCCACAATATCAGGTTTAGGAATCCAAAGAGCTAGAGGATGCGGAAAAGAGAAAGATACATGTAGGGCTTCGACTGCTCGTTTCTGAAATTCTTATTTACTTGCAAATAGATTACTAGAAGGAGAAGGAGAATGGATGACACTTCTCTCCCACTGGCCAGGAGTTGCAAGGCCAAAAAATAAAGTGTTAAAGGAGACATATTATGCCCCTTTTTACAATATGTAATATAAGTCTCTGGTGTCCCCAGAATGTGTCTGTGACGTTTCAGCTCAAAATACTCCACAGATCATTTATTATAAAAATATCCTATTTTGAGTGGAAGCAGAAACACGCTGTTTTTTGGGCCTGTCTCTTTAAATGCAAATGAGCTGCTGCTCCCCGCCCCCTTTTCCAGAATAGAGCTACACCATTACAGCTCATACCTGCTAAAAAAAACATCTGTTTTGGTTCTGATTATCATGTTTATCGCTCTGAAATCATGCGTTTTAAACCATACGAGTTTAAACTTCAAATATAAGGTTTTCTGAGCGCACACACTGTGTGGCAGCAGCAATATACAGTAAATAAATCAATAAATCCACTGCTGTCTTGTGTCCTCTGAGGCTGGGACTCTAAACAGTGTTCTGTGCTCGTCTGTGCAGCCAAAGACAGAACAGTTAGCATGTTTTGCTCAAACTTTCGCCATGGCATTAGAGCTGGTACACATTTGTCGCTTGCGAAATCAAAATGACGGTGCCGTGGGTGTAAACTTACAGACTAAGGGGCGGTAATATTATAATGAGATCCCTTTTTTTCCCACGTCACCAAGGGAGCGAAATCAGACACGCTCGTTTTCTCAGAGGCTTTCAGAAAAAGGCTTCCCAAAACAAAGTTACTGGGTTCATCTTTTTCACGTTTCCTTGGTTGGTACCAAGGAAACCACCGGGGACCTGATTATAGCACTTAAAACCTGGAAATGTCAGGTTTTCATGATATGTCACCTTTAAATGAGTTTATAAACTTTTTCAAATTGCAACAGTAATTGAATCTTGAAGTCTGAGATATGAAATAAGCCAGAAAATTGTCTTTTTTTTTTAATTGAACATGTTATGGAACCTTGTATATTGTATGTGTGTTTTTGCTGAGTATCATTTCATACATCTGTTTTTTATGGAACATATATGATTATAGGAGGATATGGAGCTCATGCTCAAAGAGGGAAAAAAAAAATGTTGCTGACATTTATATGGCCAAAAAAGTATGATGAAATTCTGATAGCTTGTAATGAAAAATCAATGAGATCTTTATAACAGGCTACTTTCATAAAAGGCATATAAATATCAGTTGTCACTCTATATCTGCCACAAATATGTTTATAGTATGATGATAATTAAATACTAAGTTTTATGATCAAAGCTTTATGGTTTTTATTATGGGGGTCAAAACATAATGCAATGAAATTCAATGATGATTGCAAGATGAAGAAATAAATGTTTTCTTAAATGTAGGGATGCACCGATATGAAAATTTTGGCCGATACCGATAACCGATTATTCTTTATTTTTGAAAGCCGATAACCGATATGTTGGCCGATAAATCTATATCCAAATTGTTATATACTTTTTGAGAGCCTGATTACAAAAAAGGTATCATCATTAAAAACCACATCCCGAACACTTCAACATAAGCAGCCTAGTTTGAACGGTGTACGTTTTAAAAATAATTTTACTCTCCCATTACCAAATTTAGTCATAAAAAAAGTCTTACAAATAAATAAAATAATGCATAAATAATGCAAACAAGTCACTGGACATCATTACACGTGTAAAGAATCAAAATGAATGCGCCACAGATCAATAAAACAGAATAGCCTCTGCACGGACAATAATTAAATGATTTTAATTACTAAACCATATTGTTGATGAAAATAATAAGAGAAAAATACAAGTGGTTGTTGTTATTAATAATGTATCAATGATTTTGACATTTAAATACCACTGTTTTAAATAGCAGCCGTTGAGCTGTGCGTGCTGAAGCTGAAGAGCTGAATGAACATGGTAAACTGAAGCGTTTTGCTGGCAGCTTATTTAACTCAAGGAAATGCATCCTGAGATTAATATTAATACAACATAAACATAATATTACAACTTATATATGTACAAAATGATGCAGTTATTGCGTGCTATAGTCAGAATGTGTGATCCTGTTGTGGATGCGCTCTTCCCATATCAACGCGCTGAAACACAGCAACTAAACCCAAAGAATGCACAACGTTTTATTATAATAATGTTCTCATTAGAATGTTATATACACAACATTCCCAATCATAGTTATTAATGTTGTGCACTGCTGTTTGAGCTGCGTGCGCTGAGCTAAAGACGATCACCGGTAAACTGAAGCGCTCTTTTAACTTAACCAAACGCATTCTATATGAGATAAATCAGATATACATCAAATAAACACAATATTACAACGTACAATTGCACAAAAGGCTGCAAACGAACAGTGCGCATCTGAAGTGTCTCTGAAGGAAATAATGCATTATTTATCGGCTTTAAGATATCGGCCAAATTTTCTTATCAGGCCGATACCGATAACAGAAAAAATTAGCATTTATCGGCCGATACCGATATGCTGGCCGATATATCGTGCATCCCTACTTAAAAGCCTGATGAATCATATTTGATACTCACATTTTTTAAAACATGATTTTTATAATAAATTATACATGGATAATCAATCAAACCTAAGCTGCTTCAGTCCAGTAAGTGTTCATCTTGAAATATTAATAACAATATAAAAGTTATTCTTACATTTACTTTATAAAAACCATTAAGGACTTCACAGGAAAAAGACACGTGAACCACAACCTGAAGGTGGACATTTTTACAATTATAGTAAAAGGCCTTTTACTGGCTAAAAAAAAAGTATAGACATCAAAAGGTAAGTAGTAAATGGTTTGCAACAGGTTTTTCAGCAAAGTTTTGATCATTTAAAAGCCTTAGAAATGTGCATAAACAAGTAGGCTTTATAGGGTTAAACATTTATCCACAATTTATCAAATAATCAGTTTGTAGGTTTGTACAAAACCAAAAAGCAGTAAAAGTAGATCTGCCTCAGAGCAATGCTAGGACATGTGAACTATATAATCTATACATGCATAATAAAACAACTATTGGCCAATGAAATGTTCTAGATATTAACCAGGCCTAATTTAAATAAATTAGAGCAGAACTAGCAGTAACTGCACTTACCACAGAGGAATTGAGACGACCCATCGAAGGGTAGCTCTTCACCACACACTTATCAGGCAGACAAGCTTTTACTAGCTTGTCAGTATCCGTAGCATATTTGACATCTGTTAAACCTTTTCCCCAGGCTGAGGAGCAAACCAGCCACAAGAAAGCAAAGATCCCGGTCACAATCAGATCCTGGAGAGGGAACAGAATAAAGTTTGGGATATTAATTCTTGCTCATGGAAATGCTAGGGATATTCTGATAAAGTGGCTGTCAAAAGTAAAAGCACAAAATTAGTCCAACAGATCATGAGAAGCTTTGAGTAACAGACACTTGGACGATTAACACAAGTGTGTCACTTCCAAAATGTACAATACTTCCAAACTTTTCAATCGATAATTAATGTTTTCTGTTCAAATTTAAATTTTATTAGTGAATTAATTAAATAATGTAAAATAAGTGTACACTGTACAGATCACAAATATATCAGAGTAGGACTGCGTAAAAAAAAAAAAATATATATATATATATATATTTTATTTTATTTATTTTTTTTTTTTTT